GTGCTAATATTAGCTTTTGTCTTCATATGCTAATTAAGTTGTGGTAGGGGCAATAAGGACCTTCAAACCCATGACTTGGTCCATGAGAAGAGGTCCTCTGTCAGCAGGGCAAGATCTAGACCGTGCAAGTGTAACATCGTACTAGTGAAGATGAGTTGAATTTTTTTTATGGGAATAGTAAGAAAGGTGTACTACATGATAAGTTCGGGATTATCTTGTATCTCTCATAAAAAAAATCTCAACCAATGTCTTAGCGATGTCTGATTTACACTTTAAATTCAGGCAGTCGTACTCTTTACATGGAATTTATGGAACAAAAGACAATGGAGGCTAATTTAGAGTTATAGATGAGCTGACATTTTTATTGTGCAGTTAAGAAATTCTTAATGGGATTTCCCGTGTGTCTAATATGTCCATAGTCCAAGTTAAAATTCGTTAGAATGACAACGTGACAGGTTCAGATTGTTGTCGAGGTGCAAAAAAGAGTGTTCGCTATGTAAAGTTGCATTGCTTGTCAAAAGGTGCAAAATTATGGGCTTCACCCCATGTACCTAGAAAGATGCTGTGGTCCCATATGGCACCTTTCGCTGTGTGCCGTACGTTGAGTTTGCATAGCTTGTCGATAATGAGAGAGGGGATGCCTAAAATTGTTTTAATCCTGAGATATTCTTTAGAACCATGGGAGTTCGGGTTTTGAAATAATGGTCTGTATTCTGGGATGAGATGTTTGGCCGTTAGGTTCTTGTGTATATGCTATTCCCCATTGAGCTAGATGATCTCATATTTAATAGCAGACGGTAGGCATCAATGTCCTGCCTAGGTTTCAGATGTTGCTTAAAATGCAAACTTGATAGATCAAAATGGATGAGGACGCATTAACATCGCACAAAAGGAGCGAGACATGGATTATGCGGTTGGTTATCCCAGAAGAATCCCAAGAAAGATCAGTGTATTAAGCATAACCATGCCATTGGCTAGAAACTTTCTTAATAAACCAGGACATAGATCAGACCCAAAAAAAAAAAAAACCAGGACTTAGATCAACTAGGGTAAGACATGAGCTTAAGTGCCCTCTTGTCGTGTCAACTGTATTTCCTTATTCAGTGTTTTGTTATTAGTGTCCCTTTTTTTTAATTTCATCCTTTGCGAATTCTAAGTAGTTTCTTGCTTGATATACCAAAGATGACAGTTGTACTGTGTCCTGTTTGGCACTGTTTCTGTTTCCTGCTAGTTACAGGTACAATTATGCATTGGTTAAGACTGGTGCTTGTCTAATTTCAGGGAACATATCTGCACCATAAAGAGATCAAAGCTGCTCAGGGTATCAAGATCACTGCTCAGGTTATTATTTCCTCATTTTGTGGAAATTAAGGCTAATACCAAGCAGGGTCATGTTGGGCTTTCATTCCTTCATTGAACCAAACTTTCCAATTTTGTGGACATTATTTTAACTTGCAATTAGTAATGACTTGTCAACTACACTGGTGCAGGGTCTGGAACATGCTATTGCTGGTACTGGTTTACTTGTGGTGGGACCTGATGACGATTTGGAGGATGTGAAGCAGGCAGCTATGGAAGATATGAAATCTGTTATGGGCAGGATTGATAGAAGTGGTGAAGGGGTATGTGTACAAGCATCTACACTTGGTTCTTTGGAAGCATTGCTGGAGTTTTTGAAGTCCCCTGCAGTGAGTATTCCTGTCAGTGGTATAAGCATTGGTCCTGTCCATAAGAAGGATGTGATGAAAGCCAGCGTAATGCTTGAAAAGAAGAAGGAATATGCCACAATCTTGGCTTTTGATGTCAAAGTGACTCCTGAAGCTCGCGAACTGGCAGATGAGTTGGGAGTGAAGATCTTTATTGCGGACATCATTTACCACCTTTTTGACCAATTTAAGGCTTACATTGACAACATTAAAGAGGAGAAGAAGAAGGAAGCTGCTGACGAGGCAGTTTTCCCATGTGTCCTCAAAATTTTACCCAACTGTGTTTTCAACAAGAAGGACCCCATTGTTTTGGGGGTTGATGTTCTTGAAGGCATTGCCAAGGTACTGTTAAGTTATCTGCGAACATCTTAATATAAAGAAATGCTATTTGTGTTTATATAAGTAGCTATTGCTGTTGGAGATAATCATGTGAAAGACATGAATATAGTATATGAATTTACACAAATATAGTGAAGGATTTGACATGATCAAGGGAAGGAACGTTTCTCCTTTCCCCTCTCTTCTGATTTGTCATCTAGGCATGAGTTAGCTTAGATTTGACATTATTTATTCCATAAAAAGGACTGTATTGAGATTTGTAAATTGCGTTGTTGATTAAGTTGATATCAATTTCTATAGATGAAGCAATCAATTGAGTTTGTCTAATCGTTTGTAAACCGCTCATAATGTTATATACCCTTTTTTTTTGGTTATTTGGACCTAATCTTTGCAAAGAACAAATTTTGAGAAGAACACCGATCCTTATGTTATGCATATGCTGGCAGATTATTTAGATAACCCTCTTTCCACATTTAGCTATTCTCGACCATTGAATGATTATTTAAGGAATAAGTTCAGTGCCTAGCCTCAAGTAATTTACGATGTAGCATTCTTTGATGTTTAAGTAGCAAATTTGGTGTCACTCCTTTTGGACAGGTTGGTACTCCAGTTTGTATTCCACAGAGAGAGTTCATTGATATTGGTCGGATTGCCTCTATTGAAAACAATCATAAACCAGTTGATACTGCCAAGAAAGGCCAGAAGGTTGCCATTAAGGTACAGTTTTCTAACTTTAGGTTCTTGTTAATTTTGAAATCCTTTTACAACAGTTTTTTTTTTTGGGGGCCATGAGGAGTAGCCGTGGAAACAACCTAACTCATCTTAATATGTGACTTCAGAGTATACACTTAAGCATCATGTAGTAGGCTGTAACTTTGGAATTTTCCTCGAGTAACTCTGCTCATGTCTGGGCATTCTGAGTATGGATTCTAGTCTGCGTATTAAACATTCATGCGGTTCTTTTTTAGATTGTTAGCTCAAATCCAGAGGAGCAGCAGAAGATGTTTGGCAGGCATTTCGACTTGGAAGATGAACTTGTTAGTCATATCACAAGGAGCTCAATTGATATTCTCAAAACGAATTACAGGGTAAATCTGGATTAAAAGTAGGTTTTACATTTCATTAGCTATGTTAAACGATAGCTGTGGCTCAGCTTTTAGCTCCTATGTGCAGGATGACTTATCCTTAGAAGAATGGAGGCTGGTGGTGAAGCTGAAGAACCTTTTCAAAATACAATGAGACAGTGGATTGTTTGTGAGAACCTCTCCTTTCCCATATGGGGCTCCTACGATGCGCCCGTTGTGATCGAAGATTGGGAAGTGGATATCGTTCAGACCATTGACTTTTGAGGTAAAGAACCCTTTGTGAAGAGGGAGGAAGGGGAGAGCCCAGCATCATTTTGTTCCACAATGATGAAGTCCCTCTGTTGTCCAACCGACTTGTGTTGGTTCTTGAGCGTTGTCATCTCAATTTATTTTTTCCTTTAGCATATATAGTTTGTGATTTCGAGAGAAATACAAGGTCCATATACAGTGAGTGCCCTTGTGCGGCGCCCAAGTTCTGAGAATAATTGCGTAATCTTTCACGAAGATGCAGGCAACTTCTCTGGCAGCTTTTCACTTTTTGTCCCCATCTTTGCAACAGTTTTGGCTTACGTTGCTTTTGAATGTGCAATCGATCGATGTTTCATTTTATTCACGGATATATAGACTCTGGCTCTGATTTTTTGCAACTTTTGCTATCATTTGCTGCAGCAGCTTTTGTAGGACAGCTGTTTTCTTTGAACGAGCAATACTGAATGGTTGGTCCTAAGCAAGACCTTAAAAGGCTTCGTAGTTCAGACATAAAATTCGGGGGTATTCCCTGAGGTGAGGGAAGAAAAAACAATCCTCCAACTTGGGGGCAAGGCGTGCGGGCGCCAGCACATTAAAATAAGGAACGCGGTCCTGTCAGCCCGCTACGATTACTTGGACAGGCGGGGCAGCCCTTGTTGGAAGATGGCATTTGTTGATGGAATACATTAGCCTGGATTAGTCTATTTCATCACTTGAAATGTGGTTGGTATAGTGGGTTCGGTTTGATTTGATTCAATCGGAAAATGATGGCAAGTGTCCCTCAGTTCTGTAGAGGAGATGGCAGAAATGCGGGACGGTCTATTTGAATTTGAGACCTAGCACATGATTGGTAATGTATCCGACTGAGTGCCTAAGCCAAGGGAGGGCACCCTACTTATACAAAAACTCATGCTCTTTACATCTGTTGATCGACTCTTGATGAATATCGCATCTCTTCATTTACCAACTACCGATATTTAATGTAGGAAGACGTTAGAACTCAGTACAATTACAATATTGCCTGTCCCTAGAAAAATTCCGGAAGCTTTAGTTTGACATGTTCTCTCTCGATCGTACACGGCCCTTGGTGCATGGAAAATCTTGAGACCGTGACAAAATCCTCTCAGAGTCTCGGGTTTTACCCTCTTCGAAGAAACCCATATTAGTGAATGAATGATAGTCTCTCTGGCTTCAAGGAAAAGTAAGTAATGACCAATTATTTTAGACTTATATATGTAATCGCCAAATTATCTTCACCCTCGAGGGAAAAGAAGTAGGAAACATGACTGGAAGTGATCCATCCACATCATCTCGAGCAGAGCTTCCATGAGCAGTGAAATTGGTCATTATGGTCGGTCGAGTTATTGAAACACATCCATGAGGACCTTATATATACCGATGTGTTTATGTTCCAACGTAAGCCAACTTGGCTTAAAAAATTATTTTCAATGAGATGTATTTTCTCACATGATCTATGCAAAGTTTATGATGGTCATTGACGAAAAATTATTTACTTTGTTGATTGTCTTTGGCTTATGGATCGCCGTAGTTTCTGAAAATCAACACAGATCAGATAAATCATCCATTAGTTTTTGCGTGTACAAACTTTCAGGTTGATCACTATGAGAAAAGGGAATAATAGGAGAATCTGCTAATTAAGTAAGCGCTTGGACCAACTCTTTGACCCTGCTTTTACTTTATGTATTACAACAGTGCCCCTAATCAAAACAGAACAAAGCAAAGCAAAAGTAATTAACAGGACATGACTTCAACGTGAAGAAAGAAACTCCCACATATTGATGCCCCATGTCAAAAGGGCTCTTCAGAGAGCATTCACGCCGATCAGTTTGGTCAGCCCATAGGTAATTGCCATGGCCAACCAGCCACCGATCAACACCCTAAGCGATGACCTCACGACTGGCGCCTTCCCCAGGACTGCCCCGATCCACCCAAATGCCACTAGTGCAATAGTGACGGCCGCGATCACGGCCCCAAGCCTAGCCCTGTAGCTCCTTATGAAGGAGGCTGCCAGGAGTGGCACCATGGCCCCTACAGAGAAGGAGAGAGCTGAGGCTGAAGCAGCTTGCAATGGATTGGGCAAGCCATTTTCCTTTCCATTATCACCATTTTCTTCTCCATCTTTGTCCATTTGTCCATTGGTGGCCCTTTCCTTGTCCCTCTTCATTTGGGCCAACTCTATGTCCAGTTGGGAGTACACGGACACAAACTCCCCTATGGCCATGCTACACGCCCCGGCCACTAGGCCCGCAAAGCCAGTCAGGATCATAGCCTTGATGTCCTGTTTCACCGCGCCGACGCCCATCATGAGCGACGCGGTCGACACGAGCCCGTCGTTCGCCCCGAGGACCGCTGCCCGCAGCCACTGCGACCGCTTCGAGTAGTCAAACTCCTTCTGGCCCTCGAGTTCCAATGTCGGGACGGTGTTGCGAGGGTTAGGGAGAGTGAGCTTAATGTCACTGAGAGAGGAAGAGGGATGGTTGGAGGCCATGAGGGATGCAATTGGAAAGTTGTTTTGTATGATTCGGGACGATTGCGAAATCTAGTGAAGAGGAAGAGAAGAGTTTGAGAGAGGAGTGGGGAGGGCACACGCCCAAGGTGGGGGTATTTATGGTGGGAGAGGGCAAACTTGGTAGAGGAAAAGGTGGGGTACGCTCATTAACATATTCTACATCAAGACCAATTCTTTTCCTCTATATACAAAAAGCTACACGCAAATATGAACATCATTTATCGTGCCTTATGCAAAAGCTCGTGATCATCAACAAAAATAGACTTCATGGGACTTCTTGATAAATGCTGCTCTCCACCTCATGAGCATTTCAAGCGAGAGGACAACCTTTTTGATGGTTGAGCAGTTCGAGTTTGATGTCTAGACACGCACAAAGGAGTAAAATCCGGGAGTACATTACTTAGCTTGGCAAAGTTCATTAGCATAAGCCAGACCGCGATCTGCTCTACCAGCTCATTCTTGCGGTGACGCGATCCCTAACCTCTTAGGCAAATATCTACGGTATCCAAGTCCGCACCAACGTCATGCAAAGTCACTCCTATGTGTCCTAGATCATGACCGGACTTGCGATGATTCCTCTAACCATCCAGGCTCCCTATGAATCAGGTTGCATAAAACTTTTCATCCATGAAACAAAACCCAAAACATATAAAATCAGGAAATCAAACCCTTCGGATGATAGGATGACTTGTATGCTCTCGAGTGAACTAATGGCCTTGGTGTATGCAGAAAAAACTGAAACCGAAAGCTGTGACTATTGAGACTTGGAGAAAAGATGATGGCAAATGGGAAAGAGCGAAAACTATGGAGACATGAAATTAAAAGCTAATGGCTTTGGTGGGTGCTAATATCTATCAATGGAGATCGATGACAGATTAGGGCATATTACCATCTTTAAAGACATCGTGAACGACAGGGATAAACGTGGTTTTAAGACTGATGGCAGATTCCAGTTCATGGATAAAGCATGAGTGTTGTGTTGCCCGACAAAACCAAAAGGAGAGAGCAAGAAGAGTGAATCTCGTTTTGTGAACTAAACTTCAGGGAGTTTTGAAAGTTATGGTTTTCTTTTCTTTCCTTTTTTTTTTTTTTCGTTCTTTCGAATTCTTTTGCGGGAATTGCGCGGTTTGTTAGCATTTTCATATAACGTATGTGACTGTTGTAAATCACATTAATGGGATACATATCTCGACGAGAAAAAATGATTTTCAAAGCAAAATTATTCGATGCCGGTGCATGAAATATAATTCGTTTTCGCGAAAACATCGTGCTTATGGGCTCTAACAATTCTAAGGAATTCAATTCAAGATTCTACGTGGGAATAACAAGGATATCATCCACTGATATGACTGGACGAGAAAACGAGCATTGATATGACTGGACGAGAAAACGAGCATTCAAGTTGTCATTGAAGTTCTCTTACTTTTTCAAGTAAAAAAGTCGAAAACTTCCATTTTATACTCGTGGAATGGCTGGCCAGACCCATTTTTCAATTAACATTCGTCCTCAAGATTCAAGATTGCTACACTCTTTTGCTGGCGATAAACAAATCATGCATACGTATAACATGATTTTGTTTGACTGATTTAGGAGGGGATGGCTGCTAAGTTAAGAAGATGCCACCCTAATTTCCATTGATCGCAGCTACTAAATTTACCGGGGTGTTTGTTTGGCACGGCGATTTCATTGGTGAAAATGGGGGGTTTAATTTTTGTAAGGTGTTTGATGATCACCTCACAGCTGCAACGCCTCGACAGCTATGATAGTATATATATATATATATATGGGCAATGTCAGTATATATAATGTGTTTGAGATATATTTGCCAAGATAGAGATAAGTTCTATATTGTACTGTATATATGCAACCCATGGGATGTTCAAAGGACACCGAAGTCATAAAGCGTGGGTATTGTTTTAGGTCCTACACCTGCCAATTTGATTGCCAAATCAAACCATAAAGTTTCGAAGGGAAGCCAACTATCAAAATTTCCGAATATTCTACTATTAACCCAAGATCTCCATATCTTGATCATTGTAATTAATCAATAAACTATTCATTCTCACACCCTTAATCCACTTCTTTTTCCTTCCTTTTTGTGCCTTTTTTCTTTGATGTTATCTCTTGAAGTTTATATCTAAATGCGGTCCCTTTTCGCACGGAGAGACTGGGTTCGCAGCGCAAGCGTTACTATTGTTGTCGTATTTTGTGCAACTTAATCTGCGTGCGATCAATGCGAAGCTCCTTCTTTTCGATGTTAAATTCGAGATTGACACGGATGGACCGAGCCTAGGTAATTAGTATCACTATCATTTTATCTTTGCGCAATATCTATGGGTCCACGTCCTCATCACACCAAAACAGCACATAAAGAATTGTCTGGTGGACAACATCCACTGATCTTTTTCTCCCATCTAAGTTTAGACCTAATTCAATGAAGAGAAAGCCACAACAATGGTGTCTGATGAGGAGAGCACTCAAGTCTGCGAGAGATCAGAGAGTGACAGCCAAAAGATAACATTATTCAATGAGAGATGGGAGTGTGCAGTCCACACGAAATACCAAATGCATTAAAGAACTTTTGCTTTGTGCGTGAAGGTTCTGTTTGATTGGCGCACCTCCATTCTTTTTGTATTTGCCACTACGATCAACCCCCCATCATCACCGGTTTGATTCTATCATTATCTGTACATGTCTTTTGGAGGCCCAAGCAATGAGTTGTGTCCGAATGTCGCTTTTGGTGACTGCCGATCTCTTTGTAGGAATTTCAGGTGCTGAGATGACTTCTGTGCATGGGGAAGCCAAGTGATGAGTTTGTTTTGTGTATCGAACTGAGTGTCGTAAGTAGCTGCGATCGGTTTTAGACGTCGTAACATCTTGGTGATGGAACTTAAGCGATGTGGGACTTAGGATTTGAGGTAAGCAAGACGACTGCAGAAGATTTGCAGAAGCGTTGGAGGGTTGGAAGTATGGAGAGCGACAATCCTCGGGAAGTAAACAATCGAGAAAAGCGTTGTCCAAATGACATACGTGTTCGTCCTCATCGTTCAAGGTTTAAAGATAAATTACCCCCCTTGCTCTTCTTCATCTTGGAGTGACCCGAAACAGTATGAGCCCGTGTACCGCGGTAAGTGATTGATGTGGACGGGACAACGAGCTTGCACAAATTGCCACGTCACGTGAAAATTAGTCGGATGTTCAAAGAATTTTGGATCAGTAGAGAAAAGCGCCAGTAAGCCGCCGCCAACAACAACAGTTGTTTATGATAAGTGGAGATAGGAATGAGTAAAGCAGGGACGAGACGTTAATGCTTTCTTCACTACTGAATAATGAATCATTGGTACCATACTTCTTGGAATTAACATTATTTTGGACAATGGTAGAGATGAAGGGAAGCATTAGGTCCGGTGTGCTGAATGCACTCCATTCTCATACTATGTGAGTTTTTACGTGAGACTCGTCAAATCTAAAAGTTAAGGATAAGTTTAAAACACGACTTCGAAATCTTATTCAAAGAGTAATACTATCAAAAAAACAATAACGACGTGTCAAAAGAATCCATTGCAAGAATCACATTTGATTAGCAAACAAATTTTGCAAGTTACGATTTTGAAAGCTGTTTTATTTTCATGTATCAAAAAGTCCATTGAATGAATCTTTTACATAGCTGGTGTACGTGTACAACAAGATCTAAAAAGAACACAAACACAAATCTTTTGCCTCCATAAATGCTACCCTAAGGAACAATACTTTATATAGAGCGACAACAATGGGCAGGACCTATTTTACACGGCATGAGCGTGACATATAAAGTGAAATACGGAATATAGAAAGAAAACTCGAATATGAAACATCGTGGCACGCTTCATTTGTATCATGACTCAATCGGTAAATTGTCGGTTCCATTCGCAGACATTGTATGCAATGAGAACGTATCGTTTCGTATGTGCTTGGCGCATTATTATCTTTCACAATTGAGGAAATGCGCTCTCAAGATCGTCCTGGGAGGTAGACTGATCGAGGTGTGCAGAAGATGACCGGTACACCACCTCATCACTTAAAGAACAATAAAAAAAAACACCGAGTTTAGAGAATCTCTATAGCATACACATCTCCTATGTCTTTTTAAACACTTTCCCTTTTTTACTCAAGGTCCGATGTCCTTAGGTGTTTCGAGCTGCACTATTAGCTTGATAAGGTAAATTGGATACATGGGTATGTTCACCATTTGTCACCCTGTGGATCCTGTGGATTAGAAAATTTTCTAAGACTTGAAAGTTTTTGGGGATCGATTTGTGATTTCTGGAGACTAAAATGTAGTCCTTTATTTAAGGTCCGAAAAGGGCCGTATTTGTGAGATAGCATATTTGTCTCGAATATTTCACAAGCCTGTTCCATTACCCTTTCATGATATCAGAGGACGGATCGTGTGTACATGCTCACGTACGAAACATACATATCTCTCTGAAGATTCGATAGAGTCTCATCAGCTTTTGTTCAACTTTTGATCTTGTCGGGTCAAGGGGACACGTTATAGGCAAAGGAGCTCACTCGCTAGTGGTAGACATTAGCTTCATGGCGATGGCACGTAATTCTGATAGTGAAGTACCTAAGAAAAATAGGAAGCATGCCTCGGTAGAAAATGAAAAAAAGATCGGCATGATCTCTCATGTCCAAGAAAACATCACGTTCGCTAATTAGGTACGTACCCTTCTCAACCGATTCGGTCCATCGCAAATAGAAGATCAGGATGCGAATTGCTAGAGATAATTCGAACACGACAGATCCCGTTACACGTTACTATAGACATTTGAACGAATCGAAGCCGAGGCACGAGCCGATGACATGTTGACAAGGCGGTGTTAGTGCCCCCCCTACAGCAAACAAAGATCCAAAGTGGTGGGAAAACTCCACGATACATGATATATGACCGAGCGCACGATGCCTTCGAATTACAAAGGTCTTTTCTAGTGCGACCCTGAGGCGGTGTGATTGCTCCACGGACGAGAGGAGAGGGAGATCTGACTCATGAGCATTTCCAAAAGCCACTTGAGAAGACAACCCACGCGAAGACGATAATAACAGTAACACCACTTGAAGAAAATGGGGGTACGGATTCCCAAAAATGACATTATATATACGCGAAGAGAATGGAGTTCATATACAAAGATGTTGCGAAAGCCAAGCGATCGAACAATAAAATTTGACAGAATGAGAAAATAAATCGGACACCAGATTTACGTGATTTGGTCGTAGTGACCTGCGTCCACGGGAAGAGCAGCAACGAATTCCACTATAAATCAAGCGATACAATGGAGATTGCAATCACGCTCGAGTCGCTCAAACACTCTAAGTGTTTCCCAAGCCTCAATTACACCCAATAACTCATGCAGTGTTTAGCCCCACAATTCCTCACGAAATAATCTCTCAATCTCGCGAAAGAATTATACACAAATCTTTAACGCAAGATTTTTGCTTGAACACAAACTCTTCTCGGATGTAATTGCACGAATGAAAACCAGTGACAAGCGCCTCGCGTCGAAAAGCGGTGCTTCCAGGACACCTTCACAGCCACGATGAAGTCCTCTGCCATTCAACGGCTGCACCAAAAAGCACTCACACAAAAAAAAGTGGCGCTTCAAGACCATATCTTTTTACTCCCACGAGCAGAAGATATATATATATATATATATATATATATATGTGGCCACAACAAAAAAAGAAGAAGAAGAAATAAACCCTTAATTACGTGCAAATAGCCACCGCCAGGAAAGTGTATATTTCGGTCAACAAAATCCACCTTTTGACTTTCCTATTTCGTCTCCTTTCTTCACCGAGTCCCACACCGAGTCCCAACTTGTAGAAGGAAAGAAGTACGTCCTTGATCGTGAATTCGTTACCGATGCAATTTCCGCATTACACATTGCTCAACTTCGGACGTCCATAATATCCGGCTCGGAATATTCAACCTCCACAAATAAGAATTAATCTCAGGTTAAATTTCGTTCATGAGCTCAAACTCGAGATATATTTTTAACAGCGGCGATGAGGGGTAATATTTCTAACATTTGGTTTTTGAGAGTCGGGTTGTGAGTATGCGTGACTTTTCTCCTCGCATGTCGATAAAAGAAAGAAATACTGAGCGACGGTTATTTCCATAAGAAGCATTTTACAAAGAGAGAACGATGGTGACGAGAGCTTATTTTTTGCTCAGGAGGGATGGCGACGGGGCGGGCCGGAGCGGCCGTGCCGCGCCCCCCCCCTTCTTCGCCTCACCACGATCGATGAGGCAGCCCTTGTGTTCGGCCCGTAGCAAATTTCCATGCCTTAATCCCAATCTAGAGACGCGTTTTTAGGTTTCCTTGCCCCCCCGTTCGTCGCGCGATTCAAAGAGGAGTTCATTCAAAATTTAGGATGCCGTGCATTTTCCATCCCTTGAAAAAAAAAAATTTAAGGAAAAACCGATCGCGAAATAGCCAAATTAACACGAAAGAGGACGATAAAAGACCCGCGACCTTATAAACCACGCGCGACCCGGCCGCATCTCCAGGCCCAAATCCGCGCGCCGGGGCGGGCCGAAATTGCCACCCCGGTTTCTGCTGGGCCTTGGCGAGTGCCAGGCCCAAATTAGATTAAACAGGAGCCCAGGAAAGGGCCCAACCTCTGAACCTCCCCGTCCGCACAAAAAGCCCAATGGGCCGCCGAATGGGGGGCCCACGCTTCCCCCCAACGCCCCGATTCCTCACCGTCGATGTGGGGTTGCGTGATCGCGAAGGGGTCTCCGCACCATGACCGCGATCTGTTTGTCGGTAAACACTGTTAAGGAGAAACGATGTGGTTAAAATCGGGGTCAACACCCGCAATCATGGCGCCCCCAGTTCAACCGCAGCGCACCATCGACAGACCTCCATCCGAGGTCGCTCCTCGAATCGATTGACGCGAGGAAAGTAAAAAGGGGGGGCGCGCGAGTGGCGCATCCTCTCTCTGGAGGAGCAGCCCCCCCCCCCCCCCGCCCTCCCCTGCCCTCTCCTCTCCTCTCCTCTCCTCTCCTCCTTCCCATTCGCCCATCCGCTTCCGGATTTCCGATGCCTGTCGTTGTCGGACGATCTAGCGGAACCGCAGACACGACCGGTCGGGGAGAAGCCTCGGATGTGACTCCGCATCCTGAGTTGCTTTTTTCTCCGTCCTTTTCCTTTTTTTTTTCTTTTTTTTGGTTTTTTTTTGGGGTGGAGATGATGTCGGAAGGGGGGCGGAGGGAATCTCCGGACAGGTGTGTAGAGGAGGAGGTGGAGGGACGGACTCGAGTACATTATTGATGGTTGTTGCGGAATTTGGTAGACGGGACGGATTAGGTTTGTGAGATTTTGTTTGTTTTTTTTTGCTTTGGATTCATTATTGTTGTTGTTATTATAATTTCTTTTTTTGGTGGGGGGAAAGGGATGGTGCGCAATAATTGGGAAAAGGGTGCGTCCAAGATGTCGTTTTACACCACATTGAAATCTTATTAATTAAGATAATATATATATATATATGTAGTTTCATCACTTTTAGTACAACTCGAGGTTTTTCTTTTTAAATTCTAGCTTTTATATCGATAGATGGCTCGTGCTTTTTTTGGAACGGTGAAGTGCCCGTCGTTTTGTATTGACTTTGCTCGGGTCTATAAATTTTTTCTACGTTTGATGTCTTTTATGGGTCGTGGCTAATGTTGCTGTGCGATTGTTACGTTCGGTACGATGTCTGGATTTAGTACTTTCGTCCGTCTCCTATAGCTTACAAACTAAATTAAAGAAAAATGGTATAATGATACAGATAGTCTTTGAACTTTAATCCAATATATGATATGATTCATGAACTTTCAATTTATTAAATATGGTCGCTGAACTTTAGCCTAGTGTGCAGTGCCGTCTCCGAAATTTTAATTTGTTCGATGCGGTCCCTAGATATTTGGTACATATTCATTACTTGAAAATGTTCAATGTTATCTTTCCATCAGTTCAAGTTCAAGGGTAACATTGAACATTTTCGTATAATTTAGGGACTAAATTGAGCATGTATAAAAAGTTCAGGGATTAAACCGAACAAATTAAAAGTTTAGGAACAGCATTGTATATCGGGCTGAAAATCATGGACTGTATTGAATAAATTAAAAGTTCACAGATCACATGTTAAAATTCAGGAATCATTCGTGTCATTTTCCCGATTAAAAAATCGATGAATCGCCCGCTGAGCAAATTAGTCAAAGCAAGCAAGATTAAAATAGAAAAATGAAAAAGAATAAAGATAGAAGAAGGAAGGGGTGGTTCAATCAGACAGTCCATCACTTCATTTATCACCATCGTCTTTTCTTTTCCTTTTCTTTTCTTTCGCTCATTTGTCAAAGTCCATCAAACCAACTTCTACGCCACACTAGGTAGTCCCCCCCCGCCCCGGCTCTCCCTCTCTCCCTCTCTCTCGCCCCCCGTCGTCGATCCACCGCCACCCACCCACCACCGCCACCTAATCCTACCCCGCCAGCGGGCCCCGCCACCTTCCGATGGCCACGCCGCCGCAGTTCTCCGCGAAGCCCCCGCTCATGGCGGCGGCGGCGGCGGCCATGGACATCATCGACCAGATGCCGGACACCCCGCAGCGCCACTCCTCGCACCACCGCCGGGCCCACTCCGACACCACCTTCCGCCTCGACGACCTCCTCCTCTTCGACGCCTCCGACCTCGACCTCTCCGCCCTCGACCTCCCCTCCTCCTCCTCCGCCGCCACCACCCCCACCCCCACCCCGTCCCGCGGCGGCGGCGGCGGCGCTGGTGGCGCTGGTGGCGCTGCCTCCATGGCGGTGGACTCCGAGGACTCGTCCTCCAGGCCCTCGCCCCCGATCAACCACTTCCGCAGCCTCTCCGTCGACTCCGACTTCTTCGAAGGGCTGAGCTTGACCGGCGCCGGCGGTGGGGCCGGCGGCGACGAGAGATTTGGCGCCAAGACGGCTTCGGTGGCCTCCGAGAGGAGGGCTTTTCACAGGCACAGCAACTCGATGGACGGATCTTCGTCGGCCTCGTTCGACCTCGACTCGTTGATGGCGGGTGATGCTGCGAAGAAGGCCATGGCTCCTGACAGGTTGGCTGAGCTGGCCTTGATTGATCCTAAGAGAGCTAAAAGGTGTGCTCTCCTCTCCCTTAGCTGTGTATTGACTTTCGGTCTTTCAATGTATGTGCATATGCCCCAATCATTTTCATTTGTCTGCACTACAGTTGCGGTTAGATAATTCTCAATCTTATGTTTCGGCCGTTTCTGGTTTCTAATCATAGCATCTGAAGTTAGAAAACCTGGTAATTTGCGTTCTTGCACGTTCGACCTCGCGTCTGCGATTGTTTTATGGCTGTTGGTGCCGTTGTGCTGCAAATGGTTGGAGATAATTTTGAAATGTTTGTTTCCTACAATCATCAACAGTCTAATTGAACCCGTCCTTAAAGTAAGTAGAAAGATTGTCAAGTTTCGGCGGAGAATATTTACTTTTAGCACTCTTATGTTGTACTCAAGGGGGGTTTATCTTGGTAAATTACTTTCTGAAAGTATCTTTTCCTTACTGGACTTATTCGTGTCGAGCAGGATTCTTGCGAATCGACAGTCTGCGGCACGTTCGAAGGAGAGGAAGATACGATACACAAGTGAACTTGAGAGGAAGGTACAGACACTTCAGACGGAGGCAACCACACTCTCCGCTCAGGTCACGCTGCTGCAGGTATGGAGGTTGGCTTTCTGTTGTTGAGGTGGAGGGGGAAAAAGGGGCGCAGGGTTTATCTAACTCGGTGGACCTGGCTTCTTCTTAGTCAAATCCTATCATTGTTTCAGCACACTTGAAACTTCTCTTGCAAATTGGTTATATTCTACTAGAAGAAGGTGAACAAAAGAATGATCCACTTAGAACTCTACAATAGAAGACTAAATGCTGAGGGCACAACAGAAAGGATTAAACTAAAGATGATAGAGCATGTCCAAGTATTGACACCATAGCTTGAAATCATTATTATGTGGCTGTTTCTGATCCGGAGGACTACTCTAATTTATAGTGACCCCATTCATCTACATGTTCAAATTTATACCTTTAGTTAGGCTGGATTTTTGTTAGAATTTGAGAGGTGTTGTGATGAATTGCATTTTATCATTAGTTTTAAAGTTTTTATATCTGAGCTAGTCAACAAAACTTCGAATGGAGTGCAACGGAATTTCTTGCAGCTAGTGTGGCGTAGTCAAGTCGTTCCTGTGTTTTCTTGTAAGACTTCAGTTTTGTAATATAATCCCTTCTTTGATAATCAAAAGCCATAGCAATTAATAACACGTGCTATGAATATTTATTGGAGTAGATTGATTCTTCTAGGTGTATATGTCTAAAGTAGATATTTCCATATAATGGAGTAAAAGTTTAATTGGCAAAACAGAGTCTATGGCCAGAAAGAAAAGGGCACAAAAGGTAAGGATGCTTCTACACGGAAGAGCAGAATATAGCTTTGGAATATTTCTGGGTTTCACTTTATTTGACGGTTGCTTGATTTAATAATATTCAGAAATGTGAGGTATAGCTACCTCAGAAAGTCCAGCACGACTCCTGAGTGGGTTAAAATCGCAACTTTGGACCTGTCTGAACATTACATCTTTTCAACTATGATAGTTTCCTCTTACCTTATCTCAGTAAAAGTTTCCTCTTGATGGTACCCATTCGTTCCCATACTTGCCTCTACTTTTTTATTTTTTTATTTTTTGCTTCTTAACCTTTTAGTTCATATTATGTGGGATGTAGTTCTATGCAAGCAAACCAATGGAATTGAGAAAAAGTTAAGTGGCATCCAAATGTTGCAACCACTCCATTTTGTTCGTTACTACTTTGATTTGGTTTGATCATGACTTCTTGCTAACGTTTTCATTTCGGCTTTGAACTGTATGTCGCGTCGGCCAAAAAAATAATAAAGAAACGACCCCACACTAATATCAGTCTTTTTACTTCTTTCAAATGAAGAAAAAGTCACATCAGTTGTTACCACCAAACATTGATCACCTACTTGCCCTAATACCCTTCGAGGGTACCCACTAAGAACATCCTATCCTTCACGATTCTTCAAAAAAGTGCATAAGAAGAACTTCTGCCCCTTTCCCGCGGGCAGAAAGGGATTAACTAACAGCCAACCAAAAAAAAACAAAAGATTGATATGCAAGATCTTGACGGCACTAATCTAAGTGGTAATTATCATTCCCAAACAGGTATGATCTGAAGAGCCACGAACCAGAATATTAACCTAAGGATGGCACATTAGTTGGCGATGCAAGTTGAAGCTCTAGGAACTGATATGCCTGATGTACCGCTGCTGTACGTGTGTTATTTAGATGTAACAGAACATAGATTCTTCATCTCTCACCGGGCTACTTAAAATATCTCATTTTTTAGCAAATAGAGGAATGTGATTGATGAATTAGTTGTTTGGCATGATGGTATCAAGAGACATAAGATGACTAGGTGTAGTATTTCCCCCAGGCTTAGATGGCAAAAGTCCTTGTGGATATACTGTTGCGATTATCTGCCTACTTTCCCGTGTTTCCTGAAATTACTTGCAACTGTTCGATCTGGTTGTCTTTGAGGAGGGTGAGATTAGATATGAAGTATGGTATCCTCTTCGAGGAGGATGATATAATTTATAGCCTTATAAGATTGGTGTTGTTCTTTCTAAGATGAAATCTTGTCAGAGCTTTACTGCAAAAATTGTAGCTCCTTTTAAAAGAGACTTGGCAACTCATTTTTTTTAATTCAAGTACTTTGTTATCTTCGTCCTTGTTATCATTTATGTTATCTATTCAATTTTATGCTCTACGCTGCTTCTTTTTGTAGCTTGGATAGAGTTTGCTAGTTAAAGATCATGGACCTACCCCTTTGGGTTCTGTGTCATCCCAAATTTCTTCATTTTTCTCTTATCTGGATGTCGATACTTTTTCTACCAGACTGGGGCTTGGCAACTGATTACTTATGCTGAGCTCCTTTTTGGAATTAAGTGGTAGTTTGCATGAATAAGAAGTCCCGGGGCTTGTCCCTCATCTATTGTGCCTGGTGGTGTAATGCTCGAGTCATTAGTTCATCTCGCAATATCACTAACGTTGAATCTGTCTTTATTAGTCCTTGTGTATTCCTGACTGACTCCACTTAGGCCTTTATCCTGTTTAAACCTAACCCTGCACAAATATTACTGTAAGCAGAGTTAATAATGTTTTGAAGAAGGTTAATGCGCGGGACCTCATTTAATTTGATGCAGAGAGACACTACTAGTCCTTTTGTATTCCCGACTCACTCCACTTAGGCCTTTATCCTGTTTAAACCTAACCCACCCTGCACATGTATAACTGTAAGCAGAATTAATAATGTTTTGAAGAAGGCTAATGTGCGGGAACCTCATTTAATTTGATGCAGAGAGATACTACAGGGTTGACGGCAGAAAATAAGGAACTCAAACTGAGGTTACAGGCTATGGAGCAACAAGGTCAACTGCGAGATGGTATTTCCCCTTTTTACTCTGTATATAGTATCAAACATGCAGGTGTTTGGATGTGCAGTTATCCATATCAAACCAAAAAACTTCCAAACTTAAGCAAAGGAGTAGTGAAACCATCCTAGTTCATTTAATTTTAATAGGCTGGCTAGCGATAGAGCCACGCAATCAATGCATTTCTCATTATACAGCTGATTTAATTTAATCATTCGACTTTCTTGGAATTCCTAATTAACTAACTAGGTTCAAAATTGCGCATGTCTCGTATTTCCATCTTGAACTTAGAACACAGGTACTGAAAGGCAGAGACTGCTCAAGAAAGTCAAATACTGAAATTGCGCCATCGAAAGATTACCTCTTCAAAGAGTTTTTTTTTCCAGTTTTATATAATTGCAAACTTAACAACCAAATTAGAATAGGTAAGATTCAAGCCAAAAAAACAATTAGAGTAGGTAAGATAAATCATCGGAAGTTTGTAATTAATAGGTCCCATGAATTGCACAAGTTAAGCTTTTAGCAGGCATTCCCTAGATTCGTCCTTCAATAGTGACCATCCTTTAGGCTGGACATAAGTTTACAATATTCTGCAGGGATTCTTCGGTGGCATCTGGTTATAAATTTATGGTCTGTCTTCTTTCTCTGGCTTTTGGGTGTGTTGCTTCGTAGTGTATCTGTTTCAATTGCTTTCTTTTTGCCCGGGCTTGCAGCTCTAAATGAAGCATTGAAGGAGGAAGTCCAACGGCTTAAAATAGCCGCAGGCCAGATTCCAGCGGTCAATGGCGCTCCTTTTGGAGGGCCAATCCCTCAATTTTCTGCTCACCAGCCACCATTGCATCAGTTTGGCGGCGGCCCAAACCGCCAGCAGCAGCAGCAGCAGCATATGCAACAGTCTTCTACCAATGGGCAGACTCGCAATGGACAGCCCCACCCGAGCTTTTTAGACTTCAACCCCAGGATTCAGTAACATTGTAACTTGTAAGAACCTTTTAGATGGGTCTCAATTAGTAGGCGACTAAGTTTTAACATATACGAGGTTGGGTTTCTCATATCTATGTATAGAATCATGTAGTCAACGATGCAGTTGGTGGTGTGTTCTTCGGCTGTTGTTACTGTAGGAGTAAATTGGGTGGAAGGGGTGGTGATATAGAGCACTTATATTGGGGTCGAACCATAAATCAGCAGGCAAGAACCTCACCTAATGTTGTGATACTATAGCAATTACTGTCTGTTTAATATGTCATAGTTGTTAACTATGTTTAGATCTGTGGTATATCGAAATCAAATGTGTCCTCCTCTCGAACCGGCCTTCTGGCTTATCCTGTTACATAACAAGTTCGGATCGAGGCATCGATGCTCGGCAGCCCCGAATGGATGGTTCCTCCATTTCAACGAGACTCCCCAGAACTACTGGACATAACATGAATGTTTTCCAATGTTTAGGAGTGAGTTCCCGTTCAACTTCATTGAGGTTACTTGTCTCAGACCGTGTCTTTGTGCAAATTTCCTGCTGCTTGGTAGGGGTGTCAACGGGTCGGGTCGGGTTTTCATGATACCCGACCCGACCCGAAACAATGAAAATATGTGCTTGGCCCGACCCGAAACAAGACCCGAACATGATATAGCCACACAATCGAGTCGGTTCGGGTCGGGTCGGGTCGGGTCGGGTCGGTTCGGGTTCGTGTTTAGAGGTTTACTAATCATTATTGAAATGATACAAAAGATAGAACAGAAGGGGGCTAAGTACATTGATAGGGCTTCGTTGACAAAACAATAAGCTGGCCTTTGCGGCTAATATGGACATTCTCTTTCCAACTATACATACCCCATCTACATTTTTGTTAGTAGATGGGGCTTGACAATCGTTGTTTCTTCTTGCGGAAAAATAAGTCAATTGCTACGCTTTCTACCACCCATCAACTGTAGAATTCCTACCCTAGCGAAGAGCTTGTGTCCGCAGCTTCATCGTTACTCAAGCTAGATGGCATCTGTGCGGCAGAACTGCATTCCGCATAATGCAACGAGAAATCAGTAGCTAGTGACGCTACTGATATTCTTTCCGAAGAAGCTCAGCTTTAGACAACAAGGGAGGCAAAGCAAAGGCCACTTGCACTCAGAGACACTGTGTTGTGGGATTCATATTCAGATGCGTCTGTCTTTCTGGGTTCTTGCTTCCGTTGATGAGCACGTCACTGATGATGGGCATCACTTTCATAGCTCATCTCCAATCAAGACAAGCTGCGCACAGGCACCAACTGCATTTTCATCTACCCCACTGCACAACTGCACCAATGATTTCAGAAAGCAACATCAGTGGCAAAGAGCTTCCTAACATGTAAGGTAGAAAATTGACAAGCACTTCCATGTAAAAAGCCAATAATATATGTAAACCTGAAGTAAATACATGTCATGCGCCAAAGGTATATCTTCAGGTGAGAATGCATGACCCTCTAGCCGAACCACCTCCAAGAACTATATATGAGACATTGTGAGCAGTGACGTACAAGAAAATAACAGAGAATTCATTGAAAGCAATTAAAGAAAGATCAGAATGCATAGACAGAGCTATCACCTCCTCCTGCTCTACAGTATGGGCAAGAGGCAAAATGACGTGGCTACTAGGGAAGCCACCAGGTCTCACACATGGAATGGCATAAGGACTAGTTTTCAGAGATGCAGCTGAGTATGCATCAATTCCATGGTCAGCCTACTCAGAGCGGTGCTCCCTCAGAAAGCGTACAAGCACAGCAGGCGGAACATTTTGTAAAGTGCATTAAGAGAGGCACAGACGAAGTTAATCAGGAAAGTAAGTTCAGAGCAACAACCAAGAAACTATAAAGCAACAGCTAGTGGAAGAAAAAGGGCCTTCAGCCACCGTTACTGCAAACAGGCAACTCTTGTCATGCCATTGTGAACACACCTGAAGAAGCATGGATGCCTTGGCACAGAGCACCCCTCTTCCGAAATTTGGAAACATGGACGAAGTCGCGGCGGGAGGGGGAGAGGCGGGCGACGAGGGGCTCTGGGGAGCCGAGGAAGGGGTGGCGGCCGGGGAGGGGGCGGAGGCCGGAGGCGCGGGGGACGGGGGAGTCGGGGGCGAGGAGGAGGCGGTAGAGGTGGACGAAGTGGCCGAGCTGGAGGCGGTTGGAGAGGATGAGGTCGGCGTCGCGGTCGGAGAGGGAGACGTAGGTGGAGTGGAGGGAGTCGGAGAGGTGGAGGAAGAAGCCGTGGTTGGGCCAGAGGAAGCGGTCGCCTGCCGGAAAGGGGAAGCGGTTGCCGCCGCAGGCGTCGGCCGTCGATCTCGGCGACGCCGCTGAGGGTGATGTTGCCGGCGGCGGCGGCGGCGGCACGGCGAAACCCGGGGAAGAAGAAGTCGGCGGCAGAATCCTGGGAGGGGGAGGGATCTCAAGGGTTTTGGTTATTATTTGGGTTGGCTTATTGTTTGGGTTGGGCTTGGGTACCCAAGCCCAATAGATCCAAACAATACCCAATTCTTTTTATTGTTACCCAAACAAGTTGAGATCCAACCCGACCCAATAAGAAAATTTCTTGTTCGGATCGGGTCGGTTCGTGTTTCGATTCGGGTATTGTGTTTGGTTTTGACACCCCTACTGCTTGGCGGATGGTGCGGTGTAGCCGTCAGGAACGACTTTCTTCTTGGTTGGTGGCAATCACTGAACTTGAGGAAAGTACTTTCCTCAACTATGGTCCCGTGTCGGGGTCCAATTCAACCGCTAGTTACGAGGGCTTCACGTGGGATCAACGTAATGGACGGCTGCAGCCAACTTGGATCCGGCGAGTCCTCCTAATTCCGATGTCGCTCTCTGGCCCGAAGGGGAAAAGAAGCACGATTCTAGAATGATGTACAAGTGAGCCATTTTCTTTGGTCAAAAGGTAAAGGTAAACCATCTAACTGGTCAAATTTAGGAATAATTTCTAAGCCGGGCGGACGTAAGCTCGATACATCTTGGCCTTTAATTTGAGCGAGTCTTTACGTACGGTTCATGTGATCCAACGATTGATACGCGATTAGGTTCTTATGCAGCCGGTCACGTTCCAAGAATTTTCTCCGGATTTTAGTGATTTTACGGAGCAAGGTAAAGATCAAATTAAGCATGGAGACCCGTTGCCCATGCGAAGATTGCAGTTGGTATTTAATAATTATATTCGAAACATTCTCGACTCTTTTTTTTTATTATAGAAAAAGTCATTAAATACGATCGAAAAAGAATTTGATAATATGTTGTAGGTGAAGCCAAGTCATATAATAACAGGGTTTATCTTAAAAGAAGAAATCTTCATCTTTTTTCTTTTTTCTTTCGAGATGAGCCCACTGGATTGGTAGGGGTGTGCCCGAACTGGAAACCGCCCGGACTGAACTAGATCGGCCAATTTGGTCCAGTTTTTGGGAGTGTCTCTCGGTTCCAGGTTCCCAAAAGTGAAATCAGTGTCCGGGCGGTCTGGTTCTCGGTTCTAAGGAGGATCGGACCGGACCGACTACATATATATAATTTTTTATTTCTTCAATAAAAATAGTAAACTTCAGTCACCATCGCTTCCGTCAATATATTGAAATTTGTCACTCTCTCTTGTTATAATGAGAAAAAAATAAAAATAAAAAAGTAACCGGTTTCATTGGACAGGATCGGACCGGTCCCCGATTCTCAAATTGGAAATTGGGAACCGATCACCCCTGTGAATTGGGATTGCAATTAGGGATGAATCCACTCGATTTTTTTTTAGAAATTTGAGGCGAAAAAATTCACAAAAGAAGAAAAAAAAAAGAATTTTTCAGATTATATATATATATATATATATTTTTTTTTTACGACCCTGTCATTTCCGGTTAAAAACGAAAAGAAAAAAAAAGAAAATGCGCCTGTGACCTCTGCATCTCTGAAAATCTCTCCCTCCTCTCTCTCTCTCTCTCTCTCTTTGAGGGAGAGTCAGTCCGAGCTAGACAGCGAACGGCGGCGATGGACGACGACGAGGGGACGACGCCGCCGCCGATCTACCGCCTCCCGGAGGACACCCTCCACCAGATCTTCGCCTCCCTCCCCCTCCGCCAGATCATCGTCTGCCGATCCCTCTCCAGATTCTTCCTCCAAACCCTCACTTCCCCTGCCTTCCTCCGCCTCATCTCCCCGCTCTTCCCCCTCCGCCTCCTCGCCCTCCGCCCTCCCCACCACCACCACCACCACCACCACCACCACCCCCACCACACCCACCACCAACAGCAACTCCTCCTCCCCAGCCCCTCCTCCCCCGCCGCCCTCCTCCACGCCTTCGACCCCCGCGACAACCTGTGGCTCCGCTTCTCCCTCGCCTTCCTCCCCTTCCGCTCCCTCCACCCCGTCGCCTCCTCCCTCGGCCTCGTCTACCTCTGGGGCGACTCCTCCGCCGACTCCCCCGACCCCGCCAAGTCCCTCGTCGCCTGCAACCCCCTCACCCGCCGCTTCTCCGTCCTCCCCCAGCTGGGCTCCGCCTGGTCCCGCCACGGCTCCGTCCTCGTTGACTCCGCCAACCGGGTCATGGTCCTCACCGAGCTCGCCGCCCTCTACTTCACCGGCTCCGGCTCCGGCTCCGGATCCGGATCAACCCGGTGGCTCAAGTTCTCCTCCAACCTGCCCTCCAAGCCCCGCAGCCCCGTCCTGGCCTCCGACGCGGTCTACGCGCTCTGCGACATCGGGTCTCCGTGGAGGAGCCAGTGGAAGCTGTTCTCTTGCTCGCTCAGGACTCAGAAGTCGGCGCACCACTGGATCAGGCTGGAGAAGAACGAGTGGGGTGACGTGTTCGACATTTTGAAGCGGCCACGCCTGGTGAAGGGCACTGAGAATAACATCCTGATGGTGGGCGGATTGAAGTCCTCGTTCGCGCTGAACGCGTCCTGCTCGACCATCTTGATACTGAAGTTGGATTTGGAGACGCTGGAGTGGGAAGAGGCCGGGCGGATGCCGGTGGAGATGTTCCAGTGCTTCGCGGAGTCGAGCAAGTTCAAGGTGTTCGGAGGCGGGAACAGGGTGTGCTTTTCAGGGAAAAGGGTCGGGAGATTGGCATTGTGGGATTGCTTTGACAAGAAAGCGGAGTGGAGGTGGATAGATGGCATTCCGCCGCACGGGGACGGTTTCTGTAGAGGGTTTGTGTTCGAGGCGGGGCTCACTGAGTTGCCTTGATCAATCGGTCAGTGATTGTGTACCGGTTTTGCATGTGAATGCTCATTTGAGGCCGGTAATGTTTGACAAACATGCGAAAAATAATCTTTCTTGTTGTTATTGTTGTTGTTGATAATGTTGTTGTATCAGTGGAATTTACTTGTCAACTTGTCTTCTTGTTAAGTGCTTTGCTAATTTTCCATCAGGTGTTGGCATTTAAATTGGAAAAGAGCTTGAATTGTGGTGGGTCAGTTTGACGAGTTTCGATCAAACCCACTGACTAGCTAATATACTTCTTGAGATTGTAAGCTTGGGTGTTTCTAGTCCCAGATGATGTGGGTGGCTTGGTGAGCCTAAATGCAGTAGGATCTATGATATGGGCTGAAGATGGAACTGAGAAGAATGTGAGAAGGGGGAAAAAGGATTGATAGAGATGAGAATGTCTATTAAACTGTCCAAGTTTTATCAATCGGTGCTTTCTAGTGAGAATTGGCAATATTGGAAACTATGCTGCTGGGCCATTAGTATAGTGGCAGTAATTATGACAGATTTGAAGGTGGAGTAAGAACATAGTGCAAAAATTAGGAACCTGCTTAATCTCCTCTTCCTATTTGCGATAAATAAGTGTGACCAGGTTATATGAAATGGCTCTACCAGGTAAACTCCCTATGTTGTTAACAACATGATGGCAGCACTGTTGGGCACTGATGAAGCAAATGTTGTGTTGCCCTGATATTCAGTATTTTCTTATTTATTTTCCGTGTTCTACTATCAGCCCTGCTCAGTCGAAAATGAGAATACTTTAACTAATTTCCATCGACATGAGTGTTCTCTATCGCACTCAGCCCTTATTGAGAATAATAAATAAAATGAAAAAGTATGACTTGAGGAAGTGGACCTTCCTGTTGCAACAATTGCACTCTTAAGCAGGAGGTGACAACGGTACAACAGTATCACCTTTTTTACTGTTTGGGTGACAACGGTACAACAGTATAGGGTACAACAGTATGTGGCTTCTTAGTTGCAAATCACAAACCTTCTGATCAACTCCTCAGGACCTTTCCTCTCTCTCTCCGTGCAGTGTTTTAACTCGGACCTGGGGGTTCGAGGGATAGTTCTCAAATCCACTGGACAGAAGGAAAGTTGGTCAATTAGGACCCTATACGTAAAAGATAACATAGGTTGCTACTCAGATAATTGAGCTGTGATTGCTTGATGTTACCATATGCACAATCTCAAGTGTGTTTGGGTGTCAAAATTGCTCCTTATTTGATGTAGTTTCGGTTACTCCTATTTTGTGGGATACTTGAGAGGATTTTTGTTGTGTGGATTAACAAGTTGCAAAATTCTCCTAAGATGCTTTTACAACAATTTTTGGGTGATGGTTGGTCTTCTATGATGAGTTTTGTATAGCTATCTGACATTGCCATACTAAATGAGAGACCTCAGTAAAAGGTGTCATGACCGTTCAATTTTCCTTATGAATTAATGAATGATATGAGTGAACTACTTTCAGCTTATACTTCTTGGTGGCATCATTGCTTCTCCCGCTGAAGGGCCATCTCTAGCTAGATTGTTGCCATTTGGGTGGGAAACTTGTTACTTCTGGGGAGATTATGCTCTACAATTTTTTCCCTGTAGAGAGATTAGAGCTTTTTGTTGCTACCCCCACTATTTAATTGCATCAGATAACTCTAGTGAAAATTAATTTTTTTCCTGGTAATATGAGAATCGGTAATTCTGCTCTACAGCTACCTTGTTCCTCATAAAATTTTTCCACTCCTATACCATATCATATGCGTGCCACTTTTTTGAAAATTTTAGAATATGGAAGATAGGGATCACAGGGAATTGGATTGGATTGGATGGAATTACAATTGTATATGTAAGTATAAACATGTTTCGCAATTGTGAATGAGTCGAGGGAAAAGGACCTATTTTACGAATTCTTGTTACATTCCCTGTCCAGTTGAAAGTGTTTTTTATTAGAAGAATGCGCAAGAATTATCATCTCGGAATTATCTTTTTGTCCACTTGGAAGTATCAATTTTTTGCGAAACAACCAGGCCTTAGTACACAAGTGTTCCTTTTGATATATTTCTATTCTTTTTTATGAAGTAAAAAGAAAAGAAGGAAAAGGGACACAAGTGGAAGGAAAGGCAGGAACACCAAACTCCAATTTCCAACCAGTTGCTTGCTTAAAGAGAGCAAATGAGGCCTGTGTTGGCAAGTAACAGTTAGTTCGCTTAGTTTGTTTTCCAACCAGATAAATCTGAATAATGAAATTGGAAAAGTGGGATCCACCAATGTCAGCTGCCCTTCAAAGGCAAACATAGCTATGGTCTAAGGGCTATCTGTTGAATTGTTTTTCTGTCTCTTACCTGCATGGATAATTGCTCGTGAGATTGTTTATCTCAGGTTTAGGGAATATCCACATTTGAGCTATTGGTAAGCTTTTACTCATCCTAATTCCTGTTTTAGTGCAGTTCTTCCTTCTTATTCTTCTCCTGTGAAAAGCTTCGTGTTTCTGTTCTCCTTAGTGTTTTTGGTGGCAAAGTTGCATTTGGAGCTTTCTCAAAGAAAAAAGTGTCGTAGCATTATTAGAGGAAAATATTTACTGTTTTGTGCATATCTCCCTTGCTTGTTGTGAAAAGGAATGCACAACGCTAGTTGACCATTTCTTACTATATTTGATATTGTATGACTTATTTGCTTTAGCTTGTTCCATACGTGTGACATCCTTAAAGTCTGGAAAGGATTAACATGTATCAAAACGATTCCACTATGCTTACACGCAAAAGAGATTTTATAGGCAGGCTAATTTAATCCTGGCTATAATGGAAGAAAATTGTACTTTTTTTAACAATAGTGTCTTATTTTGTCACAGTTATTACTTCATCCATATCGCCTGTGACATGTCTATCGGCATCATTTCCAGTGTTAGCTGTTGCTTTTGTCTGAAGTATAATAGCCTCTCTTGTTACCTCACTCTAGAACTCTCAGGTCTACCCTTTCCTATATCTCATGCTTGCAGAAAAGGAATCAAGTTTATAATTTTTAATCCTCTTTCTGTAGAAATGCCTTACCAATATTCTTTTGTTGCACAGTATGTTTAGTATTCCACTCGGCATAAAGGTCTTGCCCCTTGTCATGAACTTCTCTTTACTGAGGTTTTGATGCATGTATAGGAACTTAAAGAAAGGGTGGAGGAGGAAGTTGGATTAGTACTTGCCTTTAAGAACATAGAGGTGGTTAGATATTTTAACGAGCACTCTGCTGTGTGCATTGGTAAATAGAAATGAGATCTGTATGGAATAGATATTTTAGAGTGAACAGAAATTTGAGAGCGGACGGCTTCACTTCAGGTAATGTCATCCTCCCCTCGTTCACTGGAGTCATTTACTCGAGTGTTTTTCTACTTTGGGTAGCTAATATGTTTTTCCTCTGAATAGATGAGGTATCAGCTCACATTGTGCGGTGGCTGAGGAAATAGTGCTTGTTCCGATGCTTCACATTGGATCTCGATAACATCTATGTCATTGATGTGGACTAATTTTGACATAACCCATCAGAACCTCAGGATGTTCAGATTCTTGAAAATCAGTTCTAATTCCTGATCTAATCGCTTTTGCATTGCACATAATGAGGGCAGGCTTGCTTGGAACATTACTATTTGTTCCTACCCATTGCAGGTAGAAATGTTGCTGACAGTCGAACAAAATACAGCTCTTTTTTTTTTAGCATCGAATGAATTTGCTTGATGTAGTTTGTGAAATGCATACTACAGACATTCAACCGATATTTCCTACATCAGAAATGCTCGAGACTAGCAATTATATGCCGTCTGGCTCGGATTCAATGGGCAAAGAAGAATGTTTATCAAGTTTGTTTTATTTGCCCCCTGTTGAATTCTTTTGTCATTGTAGACTTTGACAGGGAGAAACTTTAGTGTGCTGGGTTTTGATATGAAATCTGGGTTATTTGGAGAGAGTCGGGAACGATCTGGGTTTTGTTGGCTGACATGCTTATGTTGCCAAAGAATTGATAGATAAGCATACAGTGGAACAACGGTGTCACACTAAAGAGCGATTTGCGCGTAACAGAAGTTTCTCTGGGCATTATATATCTCTTCTTCATTCACGAGTGTTTACGAAGCGCGCGATTTGAATTCGGGATTTTACCCTTTTGTGCTTCCTCCTTTTTGGAATTGCAAATCTTTGAGGTGGGTTTTTGTGAATCCGGGACATCTCCCTTTGTGTTTCTTCCATTTTACATGCACCGTTAGGATGGTCGCGGCTTACATGATTACCGTTGTTGAGGATGAGAGCAAGAGAGAAATGGGAACACTAGAAGTGTTGTTTCCCCGCGATTATCGACGTTGTTATGCAGTAAATCAAGAGTGAAAGGTCAATTGAAGCTTGTTCTATTATTTCTTAAAGTGCAACATGAGAAAATATTCAGCGCCACGCTAGCTAGCTGACGTGGCACGCATTTATGCACTCGGAGCCAATTACAAATTGACACCTATATTTACAAAATTAAGGTTCTCCATCCACCTTTCTCTTCCGCGTCTATCTGTAGCCACCTTGAGCCCAACCTCCGGGCCTCTTGGCGACAGATTGCCGGCACCACATCCAGGGCCGGTCACTGCCGGGCGTCCAAGCGAAACCACCCTCATATGCTGTCCGAGCTTTGGTCCCCCAAGACCCGGGATGGAGACCTAATCCCGCCAGATTGGGCACCACAAGCAGCTGTGCTCGGGTCTCGGCAGTCTTGCCCGAGTACCCAACTCCACTCCCAGGTTCCCCAAGGCCGGGGATCGTGCCCAGTACTCCGGCGGTCCAAACTCGGAACATCAAGCTGTACTCGAGACTATCCTCAAATTGTATCTTTAATAATTTTCCCGTTACATATATCAAAAAAACGACTTTGGTGTTATTCGCAAATTACAGTCAAATATAGGACAATGTCATTCTGTTGGTAAATTAATTTCAAATAAACGGAGGTCAAGCTTGCCAGCCTTGCACCAATTTGATACGGTTTTACCCCCGTAAGGATGACGACATGGCTCTTGGACAAAATCAACCACCCCTCAAGTGTTACTTAAAAAAATGAGATTGACGGAATAATGTGAGCTGTCTATGTGATAATTATTGTCGTTTGAAGTTAACCGGTGACGTATG